TGAGGCGAGGAGGCGGGCGCGCTGAGGTGAGGCGAGGCCCGGCCCGCCCGACGCGGGGCGCTGAGGGTGAGGCGCGGGGCCTGGCCGCCTGCGGCCTGCCCTGCCCGACCGCTGCCTTCCCCGGGGAAACACCTGCCGCCGCGGCTGCTCCATCCTTAATCGTGCGGCCGCCGGGTTCTACATAATTAATCCCAACCCATTAACGCCCGCCCTTCCGCTCCAGGGGCAGCTGCGTTGAAGCAGCCAGGCCTGCGGGGGTGCGGGCTGCACCTGGGGGCGGCCGGAGGGACAGCTCGGCAGTAACCAAACATGCCTGTATTATCAACACTCTTTCCAGCACAAATCTAAAACACAGCCCCATACAAGCTACTATGAAGAAAATTAACTCTATCCCAGCCAAAACCAGCATAAGCTTTAATTGCATTTCACTCTGCAAAATGAGTGCAACAAAACATGAGTCATCCTTGCAATGTCTTCCATCCTGTGCCTTACCTGGGTCCCATGTCTTTGCCCCTCCTGCCATCTCTTTCTAAAGCTTTCCAGGAGAAGGTAAGAAGTGGAGGAAAAGGTCAGGCTGCGACACTGGATATTTCTAGTGTAAAACTGATTATATTTGGTATGGAGATTACTGAATCTTAGTAAATATAGACACCAGTATGGCATTTTAAAGGCTTGTTACTGGCAGAAGTCAAATTTTGAAAGTACCTTTTCACTAACTTGAATGTACAAGTGTGATAGAAAATGGACACGAGTTCTGTGTTTTCATAGTATTGGCTTAACCTTAGAGTGGTGGTCCTGCATATACAATGTTCTCAGCTGTCACTTTTTACCCATTTTAGTTCTTGTGACCTATATATGAAAGCTGTCTTAATAAAGAAAGAAGCTTTATTTCTTTTTTTCCTGCTCCATCAGCAAACTACTGAAAAAACACTCCACCATGATTCTGCATTATGGAACACAACTTTTTAGTACTATAAACCAGTACTGTAATAAATGTTAGGCCCATTTCTGATTTAGTGTTAATCAAGAGCAAGTTAGGAATTCAGGGAGGTTACATCTGTGTGAGACTAACATAAATGAGAAAATGATCAGACTCTGTGCCCTACTATTCCTGACAAGGCCACAAAATAAAGGCCCCCATAGTGTGAGCTGAGCTGTCCAAATAAAGGTAGTTTGATTTTTCCGAAGTGCCAGACCTTTGCAGATGGCACTAAATCCATGGAGAGAGGACCTCTGTAAATCACACTGCTTTTGTTTAGACTGCTGAATGAGTACCGTCAAGCTTGGGATTAGGAAATGAGTGCTGCATATTCTGAGCTGAGACATTAATGGATTTGCCAACATGATAGAACAAATGTCAAAACTCTGGAGGTAATTAAGCTGCATGGAAAACTCTGATGTCAATTTGATTTACTTATTCCAAGTAATAATCTTAAATTTTCTGGATTTGCATTTATCTGTGGTTTTGTTTGATAAGTTTTGTTTGTGTTAAATCTATGTTTCAATTTAATTCGTATTTGTGATCTAGATACCAACAGAGTAGCTTATTTTAAAATACTTCAACGAAAGCACCATATAATTCTTAGTAAGACTGAAAACTTCTTAATTTTGTCTCTAACAGACAAATAAGTAATTTGTAGTGCCATTTCAAGTTGCTATCTGTGTTCCCTTGAAGGACTAGATTGCTGTGGTATCCATGAACCATGTTTCACACCAGGAGACATTTCATTGTGAGGTTGTTTCCATCGTTACCAAGCAACAAAAAAACTCTCTGCTCACTCAATGGCTCTGTTCTTTTTGTAACATACTTGATATATCTCTTTTCAGGAAAAAATTCACTACTTCAACCACTGCCTTGCTCTTCATGGTTTCTGTGCACTGATCTTCTGCAGGATGACCTCTAGTTTTACTGTGGTTTGTTGGCTAGGACTTCAGAAACTTGGAGAAACAGGAGAAAGTGGAATCTTTTAAGTTTAGTGCCACATAAGGACGACAGAAGAGAATGACTCTGCTTTCCCATGGAGCTGAAAGGCAGGCAAGTGCCTTTAAAAAGTCCGCCTTGTCAGTTGAACCAGTTCACAAGATGGATTGCCAACAGTATCAAAGTCCGTTAAAGAAGGTGTGCATGCCTGTTGTGAGACATCCTGAGAACAGACATGGCTTTGCCAGCTTTGAAGAGAAAAACAGTAATTCTTTCCTTAAATTGAATCCATTCACCCCTCCAGTAGGGCCAAATTACACTTTACTGCCACACCGGGATAACGTGCCTTTAGTAAATCCCTGCTCAGGTTTTGTGAGTCCCGGAGCAGATGCTGACCTGCAGCCCAATGTTGGAAGCGCTATTGAATCCCTGGTAGACTACAGTGGTGTGAAACCTCACCAGTGGGTCCCCATCACAGGAAAGAGATGCCAGCCTGCCCACAGGAGGCAGATGATCTTCCTGGAGAAAACTAGCCAGGACAGAAGGTAGAACTCCAGGGCTCTGTCAGCTGCTTCTGTCAGGGCACGACTCAGAGGTAAAGCAAACTACTATTTTTATTTCTTAATCCCCAAAGAAATTGGTGATGCTTAACTAAAAAATAAAATTAGTTTCCGAACTCCATCCCCCAAGGTCCTGAAAGAACAACCGTATAAAATAGATTTGCCCTGGATATTTGAACTGAATATAACAACTGCAGTAGGGTGTTTATATGATTCACTGTCCCTGCTGTAGCAAAGAGGTACCAGTCAGCAAATTCTAATGAGCATTCTAATGCTAAAACCAAACCAAACCAAAATCTTTGAAGGTAAATAATGTTTAAAAAAATCTATTTATGTAAATTGTGAAGTTATATACAATAGTTCTAATGAGCACCTGTTTTAATGTAAACCAAAATAACAAATCACTCCAGAGTCATGAAACCCCCTGGATATTTCTGTGTCCTTTAGTATTTCCTAACAAGCTGCAGTGCAGCCCATTTAAAGACCTATTCCAGTGTCTAGCTGATCAGAGAACAGAAGCTCTTTAGGACTGCCATCACATGTTGGACAGAGTACACGTTACCCTCTTATTTTATATCAATGTGTTACACATTAAGTTGGGTCTGGTCATTTTGTATTGACAGGATCAAAATGGAAATTCACTCTTTTTAACATGAAGCAAAATTGGGTTGGTGGTTACTATTCAGAATTTTCTGATGAAAATTCTGGAAAGCAGAAATATCTACCCAGGGCTTCTAAAGGCAGACATAATTAACAATAAGCAATATGGTTGAATTTTTATAAAGATTAAGGCAATTCCAATGATTTTCATAGAGAAATGCTCAATGCAGCTGGAACAAAATTTTGTGAGAACTCAGGCAACATGCTCATAGATGAGGGGGGGCATTTCTTAGAACATAGTAAAGAAACATAAATGAGCTCCTTGTTCCATTTTACTATACAGAGATAACACACACTTCACAGTTAGCTATACTTCATCCATGTTACTGTCTCCATAAAGTCTCTACGTGCTACAAGTTCAGACAGTGGTTTTGGAACAAGTTTTGTTCCTTGTTTCTGTCTTTGAACTTTGCATTTTAAATCACTTTAAGCTTAACTACAGTCATATAACAGAACCCAAAAGAACCCAAGAAACCACAAGGGATAAAACAATAGAGTCCATAATTTTCCTTTTTTTTTCTTGCGCATCCCGTATAATTTTCACTCTTATTTCTCAGTTACTGTGTTCCCCATTTATATGTGGAATTAGACCTCAGACATCAGTCAGAACTGATCAGCTGGTTTTTTCTGCAAGCTTCTGGAAAAGTGAAGGGGAAGGAAGATTTGAGATACGCAATTCTATCTGACCATTAATTTTTCCAACACAGAGAAAAGCAGACAGAGACAAAGAGAGAGATACTCTGGCAGATAGGAGACACACCTGTAATGAACACAGACAAAATCTGAAACTGAATGTCATCAAGTCAGGAACCTGAGTTACAGTCAAGAAAGTGGTCTGAAATGGAGAGTAGTTCCAGAAAGCAGATAGAAACTGTTTGGTGGGTTTCTGGTGATTTTTTTGTTGGGTAAAGTTCACTATTGAAGTGAAATACTGACTCCACTGAAGGTGTCAGAAACAGTCAAACTTAACTCAGGGACAAACCTTGAAACAGATACTAGTCCAGCATAAATTTCTTAAGGAAGCTGTGCAAATGTTCTTCCAAACCTAGCATTCATTTACAAGTTATCCTGTGATGCTGAGGTATTAACTACAAATGTGTAAATATAGATATAAAAAGTAGTTGAGTTTTAAGCTACTATATTTAATAAGACTGCATAAACAAATTCCAGATTTCAGCTATGTGATTCAGAGCCCAGCCCAACTACCAACCCCCAGGCACATGATGTGATGAAAGTTGCTAACCTTTCTAGATAACAGTCCCAAGACATTCCACAGCTAAGCTGTTTGGGGAGGTTGTGCTGAAAGAGAGATCAGTAAGGCATTTTACAAGCAAATTCTACAGTCACTTTCTCCACTGTGTTGGGGGTGAATGGAAAAAAAAGAGAGACAGAAGCAGCCTTTGAGACAGATGAGCTGAGGTATATAAACATCTGCAGCAGACAGGAGGTTCTCTGTTGTGAGATGTAGTGCTATGGCTTTGGCAGTCAACAGTGTTACTTTGAACTTCCCCAGCAGTCTTCTGCATCTACTGAGCAAAGCCAGTTTATTGAACAGTTAGGCTCTGTGATAGCAGAGCAAAGGTGAGAAGCTGACAAAGAAGGTCATTCTGAGACTGAAGAGTCAGGGCCTGCCAGAGAAGGGAGACAGCTGAAGAGCCATTCTTCATGTATTCTCGCTCGGTATAGGGAAGGTGCTCAGTGCTAGAAGATGAGGTCTTTAGGAAGTTGACAGTGTTTGCCTGTAGAGTCCCCTTCTTTCAGTCACATGACAACAGAATTTTGTAACCTTTTCTCTGAGGTCTCAATTTTCTTTGCAATGTTTAAGAGGCCCTCAGAATTTGAGCGTGCAGGTATATTTGTACCTGGAAACCTGGTGATGAAGCCCTCATATCCAGTTTGTAATTATTATTCTGTTTTGTATGGCTTAGCACAGAGATGGGCATGGGGATGGCAGAAGGAACCAGGGTATTTGATAAGTCTGATATAGAGCAGAGATAACTTCTTGCCCTTCCTGGAAGCTGACACATCTGTAGACACAGTTTTCTTCAAAAACTGGGAAATGGGAAACACCGTAGAGTTTACCTATAGACTTGATAGTAACCATTTTCTATAAGAAATAAGCTGTTAACTCATGCCTCTACTAGAGTGGCCATATTTGAATTTGTCCAAAAGCCCAACTAGTCCAGTATTCCATCCAAGACTGTGGATAATTAACAAAGAATATCATCATACTTCCTCCGCGTAATTTCCTATCATGTGATGTTTTGTTGACCATGGGTTCATGACCAGGAGATGGTGTGTTTGTAGTTAGTAGTCATGGAGTCATAGATTTGGCTTCACTAATATATCCATTTGCTTTTTGAACCCACCATTTAACTTCCAACCCACTATTTCCAGGTCACTTGTGAATATGTTAAGCAACAAAGTCCTAAGCCTAAATGGGTTACTCCAGGTCTCTCTAGCAGTTATCTCCATCCACCTGGAAAACTGATCATTTACCCCTTCCCTCCTTTTCTGATCTTCTAATCAATTATTTATCCATGCGGAGATCTTATCTTTATTCCATTGTTACTTTAAGAGGCTCTGCTGAGGAACTTTATCCAGAACTTGTTGAAATAATTGTGGTCACTTTATACTAATTTCCCATTGGCCTTTGTAAAGAAGGAGTTCCCTTCCCAGTGCTTCCTCTCCTGAAGCAAGAAGCCTTTTCTCCAGAGTAATCATTACTCTGGAGAAGTAATCATACAGGAGTAATCCAGGATTAAGCAGCACATTGAGTGAGTGTGAGGCATATCAAGGTAGGATTCCAGCCTCTCCTACCTTTCAAATAATGATAGAAAATGACTGTAGGCAATGCTGGTGCAGCCCCAGTTTGTAACATAGGTACTTGGTGAGATAAAACCTTTTACCTGCCTGCAGAAAGAGAAAGAAGAAAGATTAGTCAGAGGCAACAACGTGTAAAGCAAAGAGCAAAAAAGTGTGCAACTTGAAAAACATCAAATTAACAATTCAAGCACACTCGTAAATAACATGCATAGCTCATAAGTATTGTAGCATATAAACAAAGTCAACTAAGAATGAAAAATGGCCTACAGTAAGCTCAAGAATATCTGTGCTATTAAATAACTACCCGTAACACAATGAATTGTGTAATAGCATACTGCCTAATAAGCTAGTAGGTCATCTGGAAATAATGCATAAAAACTCAGAGGGCTGAGTGCCATTGAATAAAACAACTGTGGTTTCACTAAGGATTTGATTATTTATCATCCCTACAGTTATGTATTTCACTGTGCATTTGTTTTTCATTTCCCTAAGAGCAGAGTGATGCTTTCTTCATTCAACAGCTTTGTTCTTTCTCTGTTGCTTCTTCTGTCATGAATGTCTTTCCAATATAAACTGATGGGGTTTATGCTTATTTATAGTTAGTTTTCAGGGGGTGATTTGTAGCTTTTTCTTTCAAAGGAGTAGGAGAGATAAGAAGTAATGTTAATGGGTTATATTTATTTTCCATATATAAAGAGAAGTAGAATAATTAACCAAAGAACAAAGCAAAAGAATCTGGAAGAGTTATCTGTAAACCTTTCATTTGGCATTATTATCTTTTGCTGGGCCCACTGAAGTCAATACTCCTACTAAATTTAAAATATAAGAGGTCAAAAACAGTGCACAGTTTTCGAATGGCAGTGAGGTGCAGTGAAGCTTGTGTGACTGCTGGTTTTGTGAAACCTCTCTGCATATTTCTTCATATGGTGACATAAAAATTTAACTTTTTCCTTTAAAAACAAAACAAAGAGATGTTCTGGCTTTCATGGTTTCTGGGAAACAGCTTAGAAATATGAATGAGTACATCTTCAGTTTCTAACTCAGAATCCAAGCCAGAAATTGCCTAAATTCATTATCCGTCATTGAATCCTGCTTTGTCAGATTAGGAGACAAGTTTAAGTAATAGACTGAAACTGACACTATCATTAAGCTTGTCATTAGTTAAAAGTGACAAAGCCAAGACACTAAGTTCCCAACTTGGACAAGAACGGATCATGCCATTTTCAGTCCTGTGGACTGAGCAAATCATTAGCAGCATTGAAGCCTCCAGAAAGTTGACTTAAAGAAAAAATTATTGCAGTTTTTATGCTAGATCATTCCACTGAAAGAAAAGGAAGTAAATGTTAGAAGATTAATCATCCCAGCAGTAGGACAGTAGTGTCAAGATGGCAAATTACAGTATACAGTACAAGAGCAGAGGTCTCTAGAAATTCATATGTACAATTATCAAAGCAAATGTAAAATTATATACATGTCCTCCTAAGGACATTGTAGCTGACATGAGTGTTTTACGCATACAACACAAAGAATAACAGTTGCAACCTTTAGCTCTTTAATCAATGAACCAGGGGAAGACTATTTTTATGGAACTACTAGGACATATGAATGGATATATTTGAGCCATCTACCTCTTTACTGTAGAGGGCACTAGTACATGCATACCTATTAAGTAATTACAACATTTCAGACATAAAACTTAATGGAAACATTCACATATGAGTACAAGTCGTATATTTGCAGATAGCATTTAGATTTTACACAAAGCTGAGGCAATGAAGATGCAGCCGCAATCTTTACTGGAAGCACATTACCTGTTTAAGAGACACTTTCCGAAATGATTGTTTTAATTTTGAAAGCTCTTCACAGTGCAAAGATCCACAAATTCTGTCAAGCTTTTCAAAAGCAGCAACTTAAAGTTACAGCACACTGTGCAAAAAGCTCTTTTAAAACCCGGGTCATATTATTTCAGTATCTACATACAACATTAGTGTACTAAACTTAGTTTCTTTTACTGAAAGCTGTGATTTTCTTTTAAACTTTGTCAGAGTGATTAGTTCTGCAGGAACTCATTTTGCATTCTGCACAGTGGTTTTCAACTTTTAGTCTTTGAACTATTTTCTCCAAAGTATACCTAAAATTTCTGCAAATAACTAGGAAAAGTAACTCAATTATGAATTAGCTTAAATTTGCTACATAAAGGTCTTCATAGGCATTGGAGATTTTTAGGGGTCTGGAAGAAACAAGCAGGTTGAAAACTAATGTACTAATGTACTACTGAAGTAGTACATTCTTGATACTAAATAATAGTATCCAGTGTTCACAGAGAGAGTGGTGTGATGGCTGTGTGGCTGCCTACCCCTTTTACTGTAGTATAACAAAGTATGTTTAGAAATACACCTTTTCCAAAGTCACAAAAAGCATCATGCTAGTTAATGGCACAGCAGTTCAGATGATACTCTCATACATATCCCTTACCTTGTTTACGGGATTATTTTGTGGGATTCATCCTGATTCCCTAAGGAGACAGGTTGTTTCCATTCGTCTTGTTTATTTATCTATTGGTTCTCCCCTAATAACTTTTAACCCCATTGGCCAATTTCTGCCAAATTTGAAAGAGATATAAACATCTCAAGGATAATTGCATCCCTGCAAGATTTTTGAAGATTGAAGTCTGGGGAGACGAAAGACATAAATGAGTGTTCCTCTTGAGGGTAACTCAGGCATTATAACATCTTTCTATTTGGCAGCAGCTCACTTGGTTATCAGCATGTGTATGCTGGCTCACCAGTCAGTCAGCACATATGTGACTCTACAGTAACTGGCCTCTTGGTGGGTAAGCCTGATTTACAGGACCTGGTCAGGGAGAGCTCAAATTATTGGAATATGAAGTTGGGAGGATGAAGGAGAGAGAGAAATACCTTTAGGAAATCGGTCACCTACTGCTCATGGAAGGAATTGTTTATTGCTTTCAGGGTTGGCAAAAATTATGTAACTGTAGAAATGCAATATGTAATTACTAGTTCAGGTTGCATTAGCAAGCTTTTGTTATTATATTTCATAATTTGGATACTTACCTTTATACAGTAAGTACTGTACATGAGAATATGTGAAGTAGACTAAACCATAGCAATGTATGTTGTGATATCATTTATCACTTTCATCTTCCGTGTAATTTAATATATTTTTGTGGAAGTTTGTAATTCAGAGTGGTAACAGGTATCTGGACACTGGTGCATCAATTTTTATGGGAAGCCACGGATTGTTTTCATCCAGTTTAAAACAATAATGATTGCTAAAAATTGATTAACACAATAGGAAGCCCTTTCTTTCAGGTTGGAGAAGTCCAGTGAAAGTTGCTGATCTACCTGACCAAAACCATATCTTTGCATTTTGTATGGATCCCAATCTCAAGGCAAGTGTCTGGTGCTCTTCTTGTAATGACAGAAAAAATATTTAAATAAATTTGTTTCTAGTCTGCTTTCCATTCAACATACTTTGGCAGTGATTACAGTAGTGTAGTGACTTTTTCATTTCTTCATCTAATTATATTGAAATAAGCACTATATTTCAGGTAGCTGTATGTTAGCATGACCAGATTTTAATGGTGGCTATTGCTCCAATAATCTTCTTTTTTTGTACTGTTACGCTGGTTAAGGCATTTAGACCGTAATGTGAGACTGATACAACCAATGTCAGTTATGTGTAGCTGGAGACAGAGTTAGAGAAAAAATACCAGAACGTACAAAAGATACCCAAACCTCATACTTGGTATAAATACTCATATATTTAATACTTAGGCACTGCCTTATTTGGTGCAAGTCACAAACAAATAAGTAAATAAAAAACCATCAATGATTCCATAGCGCAAGTCTAATTAAGTCTTTTCCTATACTGAAAATGTAATGGCATCCTTCTTCCTTCTACACTGATGAGACTATTCATAGTCCTTAAAGTGTTGCACATGCTTAAATAGTTCTTTAAGTTGGACCCCTTTTGTAGCAATGAACATCGTATGAATAAATCGGGCATATGTTAGGGACTGCAAAGTGCATTTGCTATGCCATTTTATAAATAATAGACAAATGGAAAGCTACATTCTTAAGGAGTAGAGAGGCAGTGACATTTTAATTTTTAAATTTGTATTCACTATATTACATTTTCCTTCCTGAGTAAAACTCCTCAGAAACAGATCCATTCTTGATCTCCAGTGCTGGCTGGTGAAGTATGTGAAATTGCATGTTTCACATTCTGATGCAAAAGAAGGTAGTAAACTAGAAAAATGCAGATACATACGGTTCACCCTTTAAACAAGCAATCATAGTATCATATAGGTAGATAGCTTTGCTTTCTGACATGTATTTGATTTCTCTTAGGAATCAAGTGATCATTCTGCAAGGTGGAGAGAAGAAAAAGCAAGAGACTTATTTCTGCAAGTCAAATACTGAAAGTGAGACACTATTTCTTTTAAAAACAGTTTTTGCTTGTGCTTTACTTTATTTTTTAATCTTTTTGCTACTATGTACCTTTAGGTAGCAGGGCATATAAGACTACAAACAATTTTTCTATCACTCAGAACTTCTGGTGTTTTAACAGCATTCAGCATAGGATTCATCACATGAACTTTAGTTATCTAAAAGCTTGTGTCCAGTCTGTGCCTTTCATCTCTGCTTCCCCTATAGGCAGTGAAGAGAAGCTGGAGTTTCCAAAAGGGCATTCTGTACATCTGTCTTCAACGGCTGTCACAGGCATGATATGACTGGTGTCTAATCTCTATTTGTGTCTCATCTCACTTAGCTGATTATTCAAATTTAGACGAAATAAATCCCATCATCACTGTAAGCTCATTGGAAGATAAACTACCTCTTTCAGTTAGTGAGTGAGACAGTTTTAAAGAAGATAAGCCTGTGAAACTGTACTGTAACTATGTGTTCTCCAAGAAGCAAAGAATTCCAGGCTTTTCATTTCCCTTTAAACTAGAAATACACACCTTTGTTATTTTCTACATCCTTCTTTGTCACACAATTCCTTATTATCTAGCTACTGATTTCATTCACTAATGGTTATATGGGAAGTTTTTTCTCTTCTTTTTTATTGTTGATCTAGAGCTTATGAAGAAGTTCCCTGGGATAATATGTTAGCTTCCAAAGTCCAGCCTCCAGAATCGACAGTGGAAGTGTTGGCTGATCCTGTTCCCAGAGTTTTGCAAAAAGGAGATACAATCCTGAACCTGAAATAAGGCAAGACAGTGAATGATTTATTGTCGACTGGTTTTAGGTTTTGTTAATGAAATGTAGCCTAAATTTTGTGTAGGTCATACACGTAAACCCACAGCGATGTTTTCAAATAAAAACAGTACCAAGTGAACATTTAAGGTCATCAGCACACTGCAGTAATTGCCTCAAATGATTTCATAGTTTTTCCCTCCCCCTCCTCTGTAAATTGGTACAGAAGAAGATACGCATGCACAGTACCAAAGGAGAGGACAAGAATATTGATGAAAAATTGGTTGATAGGAATGATGCTGTACCATAACAAATCTCATGTTAAGTTAGCTTACTTGTGATTATTAACTGTAATAATTAGTATTTTTACTAAACTAAAATTCAGTCCTGCAATTGGTTCTGATCGCTGCATGAAAATCTATTAAGCCAAATTAATTAGATAATGTTGCCTTACAAGAACCATCTAATTATGATTTTAGGTTGTTGGAGCCTTCTGGGACAGATTTCAAACAAGGTCTTTTACCTCTCCACAGAGACCTGTTGATTTGTAAGTTTCATTTTTTTGTGAATATCGGGGTCCTCTAAACACTTCCTTTATGAAGTCTGTGTACAGTTAATTATTTCAGAAGACTAAATTCAGCAGCATTCTATGACTAGAGAAGTTAAGATATACAATATCTATATGAAAAGTATACTCTAGCATGCTTCTCCTGTGAGAGAGTTAAATATAAAAAGCAGAACAGAAGAAATCTGTAAAGTCAATGATTGTCATGACTTCATACATCTGATGTTTTCATTAAGACATGACATTTATGAAAACATCATGGTAACCATACACATGTACAAACTCAAGGTTTTATCTGCTGTCTATAGAATCCAAAACAATCACCTGCGCATTGGTGTCTTTTCTTCACTCTGTATTTCGCCTGTTCTGTCCTATCTCAGAGTGGGGCATTTCAGATGAGCGCAGTAAAGGGTGACAGGAGGCTCAGAAGGCCTCAGATAGGAGCCAAGTAGAGATGCGGAAGGAAAGGTTGGTCAAAGCAAGATAGGAGAACTAGAGCTTGCCTCCTTTCCAGACTACGAGCCAGCAGGTTTGCTTGGGCAAACTCAAGGGATAGGTGTGCTGCTGGGCACAGTCAGGCATACAATGGGAGAGACGGGTACCTCTGCAGGGTGGAAGGGAGATAGAAAACGCTAGCATTATGGTTTCTTGAATGTTGCTCTTTCAAAGGAATATAGACGTGGACAGTGAGAGCAGCTTGCAGGGACAGACCAAGAGAGAAATTCAGACCTGATGTTAAATTTTCCTGTGTTCTCAAGAATTGAATGAGAGAAGTGTTACAAGTAGAGAAGCAGTTCATTTTTAAAGAAAACTTGCTTGTACCATCCTAGGAAATTGACTGAAGTCCCAGTATCTGAGGATAAAGATTAAAAGACAGGATTCTGCCTGCTGAACTGGGTCATTTAGCATATATGCCAACCTAATCATTTACCACGGTCTTTTACCAAATTCAAATGAGCATTGCATCATTCCAAGAGCAAAACTTTGACTTGTCACCACCTCTCTTTTGGGACCTCATAAATATTCTATCAGGTTATTCTGTCTGGTGAAAAAAAGGTGATTAATCTATTTTGTCTTTAACAGTGTAAGCCGAAGCTCTCGAACCTGTCGTAGCCCTTTGTATATGTAAGTACAATGTCCCTGGGGTTTTTTTACTTCTACGTTTTTGATTAAGCCCAAGCAATCTATCTCTCATTTTTTGAAGCAAGAGTTGTAGATGGACTATGTTATCTAATCTTAAGATATTTTCTGGTGCCAAGGGAGAGCATGTGTTGAGTCTCCTCTGCTTGCTGGTGACTCCAGCGTTTTACCTGTAAACTAGAAATCAGGATCCTGTCATGTCCTCTTTGGAAGAATATCCCAGTCTGATCATGGGCATAGCCAAAAGGAGAAGAGATGACACATTTCTATCTTATTTCCATTCTTCCCAAGCCTCCTCTCTGTACATAGGTACTAGAGCTGTCATTTGTTATGTGCTGCAAGTTCAGCAGATGATTGTTTTCATCTTGGGACATGCCAAGCACACAGGGCAGTTAATGTCCATGTTTTTTCTTGTGGACCATTTTAATAAATAACTAGAATTTTGGAACATGCAGTATATGGTTCAGCTGCCTCCACCAGCTGTCTTATGAATAATGTACGTATCTTTGATTTCCTTTCTATCCAGACAGTGGCTGTGTTGGTGCAGTAAATTTTGAAGACATTGACAATGCCAATGTAGACTTAATCCCACTTAACTATGTGCAAACTTCAAAGCCTTGCTACACAAACACTGCACAGTATGATTCTCTTTTTAGCATGATTTTGATACTGCCTCTTGAGTTCTTTTTACTTGGGAAAGGGGAAAAAACAGTTAAAGATCTGGTCTTGGGCCATAAGAATGAAAAAAATTGGGGGGAGCACTCCTTATTCTTTTTAATAACTTGAATGAGGTCTATTAACACAGAAAGAGCAGTGGGCTTTCAGACTGAAGCTTGAACATGAAGAGTCCTTTTTAATAACTGAGTCAGTAGTAAATGGCCTACAGTGGTAACTGCATACAGTGGTCGGTGTAGGTCTGTATAAATCTAAGGGACCATTCAGCCTAGATATACAAAATTAGTCAAGGAAGCTGATACAAAAATAAGCAGAGAGATGTCTACTGAGATGATGGTATAACAGATTTTATCCATCAACTTGCGTTATGGTAAGCTTAAATGCAACCTGTTTTGACTAAGTATGAATTTGTCATAGAACATTAAGGCCTGATTCTTTATTGTATCTCATTAGTGTTATAGTTCCAGGGAAATTATGCTCCTAACACCTTGCATCATGCTTTTCAACCAGAAATGTTGATTAGGTTTTTTGCCATCCAGGAGTTGCTCTGTGACCCAAGTGACATCTAGTACAGAATGGTCATAATGGACTGACAACAATTGACTGTCAGACCAAAAACTAGCGTTCTAATCCTGGGAAGTAAAAGCTGCCTGTGGTAACACCAGTGTGATGGTATAATCTGTCTTGGTATAATGAACTCTTCACAATTGGCAGGCTCTGACCTAGGCTGGTATGGAAATCAGAGTATACTCTCCCTCCTGTTGTTAACCTTGCTAGACTAATTGCAGAACCAAGTTTTAAGAACTTAGCAGGCACCTTTCAATTTTTTTTCAATTGAGAAAGGTTGCACGTGAAGCTAGTCTGAGTACATCTCCTAGATCATACCCCAAAACACCTGACTTAAGGTTTCTAATGATGCTGGTACTACCTAACTCAGGCATTCCTGTAAATGCCCAGCAGCAGGAAATAGATTTGTGTTACATTCAAGGCTCAAGTGGGGAGGACATGGAAGAGAAGGTTCTGAGCTTAGCATGCACCAGGAATTACTGCTGATGCCATTCTGAATAGAGTCCTTACTTCCAAAAAAACTATGTTTATTTTCAAACTATGCCATACTTTCATACTTCAGATAGCTCCTGTTCTTTAGTATTAATGAACAGGTCTGTTGAGTAGAAGTGCATGTGCCATTGTTTGAATGGGCAGTATGACTTGAATACTGCCTGTCGTGGTTTAACCCCAGCCAGCAACTAAGCACCATGCAGCTGCTTTGTCCCCGCCCCCCCCCCCCCAGTGAGATGGGGGAGAAAATCAGGAAAAGAAGTAAAACTCGTGGGTTGAGATAAGAACGGTTTAATAGAACAGAAAAGAAGAAACTAATAATGATGATAACACTAATAAAATGACAACAGTAGTAATAAAAGGATTAGAATGTACAAATGATGCGCAGTGCAATTGCTCACCACCCACCGACTGACACCCAGCTAGTCCCCGAGCGGCAATTCCCCGCCCCCCCTCCCCTGTTTATATACTAGATGTGACGTCACATGGTATGGAATACCCCGTTGGCCCATTTGGGTCAGCTGTCCTGGCTGTGTCCTGTGCCAACTTCTTGTGCCCCTCCAGCTTTCTCACTGGCTGGGCATGAGAAGATGAAAAATCCTTGACTTTAGACTAAACATTACTTAGCAACGACTGAAAACATCAGTGTTATCAACGTTCTTCTCATACTGGACTCAAAACATAGCACCGTACCAGCTACTAGGAAGACAGTTAACTCTATCCCAGCTGAAACCAGGACACTGCCATGTTAAAAATATGTGATTTTTAACTTTAGTCACTAGATGGCCGTTGAGTTTGCAAAAGCTTCCTGAATGCCATTAGGAACACCTTACTTTTAGCTAGATCACGAACTTTGAAATTCAAAGGTTTTCACTTTAAGCCTTTCCTAAAGCTGTCTTTAGTAGTTTGAGCTGGTATTAAGCATTTATTGCAAACTTTTGAGCAAGTAAAATGGTAAAACTAACAACTTAATGGTAAGAACTAAAAATCATAAAAGAGGAAAGAGACTGTTCTGTTTACTTAATCAGGTTTTGTCTTTGCATAGGCCTTTCCTTTCTGTCCTTTCAGTGGTCTTGCAAAGTCCACATCTCTGGGGAAACTACAGAAGAAATACTTCACTGGAGGAAGCAGAGGGAGAGAAGCTGTAAAAATATTGCCCTCTGTTCTGAAGAAAAGGCACAATGCTGGGCCTTACCACATATAGCAGAGTATGTGCTAAACATTCCTAGTTGATGGGAGCTGCCTTGGAAGTAGCTGGAATTTCTGAGCTCCACCTTAGGTCTGTTCATTTCTGTTTCTTACATCAGTTTCAGGGAGAATGCATATCCTTTTGCAATGCATCACATGCTGTCACACACGTGTGGGGAACAGCACATCATTCTTCACACAGCCTTACTTATTACAGCAGTAGGTTCACAGGCAAAGTAAGGTGCTAAGCATTGTAAGATGGTCAAATTTGACCCGTATGACTACAACCAAACCTATTAATACCAAGCTTTTATGTACATAATGCACCATTCTGATTGTTTTATCTCGCCTCCTGCACAAGTCATCTGATTTCTCACAGCCTTCATCTAACTTTTAACTTCTGCTTGAATTAGAACATAAAATAGTATAAAATTATTATTGAGAAATGTGCTTTAAAAATACAGGACACATAGCATGCAACATAATGCTGAACAGAGATTTCTGAGTTTGTAGGGAAGTTAGCAGAGCTATTAACCCTTAGTTCTGTCTTGTCATACTGCTTTTGCTGTAGAGCTTTGAAGAATAGAAGCTGATGTGTACACTGTGCTGCAAACTGACAGACATCTTGTCTGGTACTATTTGCAGCGTATGGTATCATGGTGTATTTATAAGTTTGAGCAACAGGTTCTGTATTACCTTCTCCAGTATTCTCTATGTAATTTTCCTGTTCTTTAGTGAGTGAGGCTATGGGTTTCATTGATTTCTGGCAACAAGGAGACCAAGATCTCTGAAACCTAAAAGATTCTGACATCTCAAATCTGTGAAAAACTCAATTCCACCTGAAAAATTCTATTAAATTTTTCATATTTATTCTCTGTCTATGATTGTCAGGCATCAAGATTGCTATGATTTTAAGTGGAAGAAAGAAGGAAGTCAGAAGAAGACATAAAAGTGATCGCTATAATTTTTTTTTTCCACTTTGTGTGTTTGCCAGTAGTTCTGGAAAGATGTGTAAAGGTATTAAGGCTGCTAGACTCCCACCAAAATCCTTGAGAAGTTAGATGTATGCTTTGGATTTAGAAGCCTAAATATGCTTTGGAAGTCTGTAAAATGTAAAAATCTCTTTGTAGATAGTCACTTTCACTCTTTCATGGACTAGCAGTTGCGCTTCCTGCCTCTAGCACTTGGGCGGCAGCATCAGTGCTCAGGCGTTACTCCAGAGTGAGACACTGCTCTTCCCCAGACCATGCAAGAAAGTGGTTGCCATTCAAATTATTAGCAAAGCTGAAACTAGCTAAGAGTCATCTGTCATGTAATTTTGCAGAGACAAACAGGAAGAGTGGTGAACCTGGGCATATCTTGTATGTTACCCTTGTGCCCACCCTCTCTTCCTTTTGGCAGAACAGGAAACCATCTTCTGTTTTTCTTCTTTTTTCTTAAGGAATTAGAAAAAAGATAAAAGTCATGATTTATGCTGCAGTTGAGCCTAAAAGCCCCTAGTATAAGATCAGTGCTGTGAAAAGCTGCTGTGCATATACCCAGCACTCTAGATAATACCCTGAAGTCCTTAGCATGCAATTTGGAAGTTGTACAGATGGGAATCCAGGTGCAGTGTGATTAAGCAGTTTGCCAAATCCCATTGGGAATCTGTAGCACAGTTAGGAATGAAACTGCATGTATCCTGAGCCCTAGCCTGTGCCTTTTTTTGTGCCAAACTCTGAGCTTTAAGCCATTGAAATGATGCTTTGCTGAAAATTGGTTTTAAAAAATAGTAATTAGCACAAAATTATGGCCATAGTTCTTAAAAGTTAGGCTGGGACACAAGTGAAGACTTAGGAATCTAAGTCACTTTTTATCCAGTTTTTCTCTGTGGTTCAGACATGGAATATCTGTGGGAGCCTTCACCACATGTAAAAAGCCACGTCATAAGTGTTGTGATTCATCTAGAAGTGCTAAATTTATGAATCTGAACTTATTAAGCAAAACTATGTTTGTGATCTGGTGGCAGTCTAGGATAATCAGTGGGCATTTCCCTAAGGGAGCTGTGGAAGTGCTTTTCTCAGGTCAGACTTTTCATCTTCACACTTGACCAAAGATCCTGGTAATTCAGTTCCTCTCATTCTCTCCCAGGCTGTCATTAAAGCCTGTCTTGGGGGAAAGGGATCAGTTACATCATCTCTTGAGGTCTGTTCCAGCCCCGGAATGTAGCATCATTCTTAATATCCTTGGTTTGTGTATGCACTCCTGAATTTGCTTTAGGATGAACTCGTTCCTCTCTTTCATCCTCGGTTATGTTGCAAAGTATGCCTAACAGCTGGAATCTTCTATCATTTCTTTGCCAAGGGCAACATAGAAATCTTTTTTAAAAAAAAGAGCCAGTCAAAAAATTAGGAAGTTGTTGTGAAAGAGCACTCTGAAAATCTCTAATGCAGCTCTTTTTCACCAACAGATCTCCAAAAATCTTTTATAAAACCTATCATGATCTTGTTTTACAGCTCAGTGCTCTTGTTGAGTGGACTACATTGTCAGAGCACAGGACTTGTAGGCTTGAATCTCATCTTTTTATGCCACAAACCAACGAGGTTCCAAATTGAATGCTTTGGTTCTTTTTTGTATTTTCATTGTATGTTGCTTGTGTAGTTTTGTTAGGTATGCTGGACAACAATTGTCCAGTGACTCAAGTGGCTTTTTTTGTATTTTTAAATTTACTGAGTTT